ATGTCTGTATCTTCAATACTTAACGAGGGAGACTTTAACATTCGGTTTCAATATGGAACTGCCTGGGGTGGTGCTGTGAGGTGATGTAATGTATTACAAACATTTCCAGAACTTACACCATGAATGAGGCTTCTTAACACGCATGCTACAAACGAGACGGGTTTTTGAAAGGACTGTTTCTCCACTTTGAAAGGACCTTTTAAGAAGTTAATTTCAGCAGTTAATTTGCTACAGGGTTTCCAACACACAACCCTAGCAGTTTCACCCAAAACAGCGCCTGCCAAAACAGTTCCGTCTCTTAGACTGTGCGTACTACCCTACGATTAAACATGCTGAGAATGGGCAAAAACTAAGAGCCTTAAAAAGACCTTTTAAAAAAATTACACTAAAATCCCAACTGTCATCTAAATTCACATTATTTAAATTTAAAAAAAAAAAAAAAAATCACCCAACACTCAGATTCTTCTAACCAGTTAAAAAAATACTGATTTATAGAATACTAATTTTAAAGATACATGGATTCCTCTGTTTCAGTTATTTTCTCATGTCGTACCTCTGCACTTCCACTAAGAATACCCTTGGAATTTTAGGATTATGGCACCAAAAATTTGTCCCTGCTAATACAGTCAGAAACCCTGGTGGTGCAGTAGTTAAGAGTTCAGCTGCTAACCAAACGGGTCAGCAGTTCAAATCCATCAGCCGCTCCTTGGAAACCCTATAGGGCAGTTCTACTCTGTCCTATAGGGTTGCTATGAGTTGCAATCAACTCGACGGCAATGGGTTTGGTTTTAGTGCAGACAAGAAAAAGGCAGAGGCTGCTCCAGGTGAGCCATTTGTTTTGATCTCCACATTCTTCTACTCTCTAGGTGTTGTCACCTCACAGTGATCTGAAAAATCAAAACAGTCTTGGTAAGTAAGGTAACAGTGTTAAAAAAAAATTGGGGTGTTTGTATTTTAAAAACTTTCTGCTTTTCATTACTCAGGTAGAAGCACTACTTACTGTAAGGCATATACCTATGTACCAGAAGCAGATTTATATGAAAACCTCTAGTATTACTTACAGATGATGACATTAAAATTGAAAGCAAAGAGTATTACCCCCGACTACATGAAAAGATACGATTCAAACCGAAATGGTCAGCCCCTAAGAGAAAACATTTAAATTCATTAAATCTAGTTAGCTTTCACCTATCCAAATAAGTGCCCACGATCAGGGACTATCACTGCCTTTGTACAGAACCCAACAAGATGACACAAACTGATCAATCATTTCACTTCTTGCTCACTGGAGACAAAACTGAGCCTGACTTAGACATTAACCAACATGACTCATCTAGAATGGCTTTACAAGAGTTTTAATCCTACACTAGTAAATCATACCTCAATTTAAAAAAAAAAAAAAAAGTATCCTAAGGTTCACAAGTCATTAAATCTACTGGAATTAAAATTAAGGTCTTCACAAGCACCTATTAAAGTTTTGAGAAAACCACTAGACCCCAATTTCTTCTTTGCTTCTTTGAGGTAGAAATCTAAAATTGCTTTCCAGCTAATAGTAAACCATTATTTACACGAGAAAACATTTTCCAACTAAAAGGTATGGGGAAGAAGATTTTCATTCTCCGTTCCTGTAACTCAGCAGAAGTCTAGGATGGAGCTGCTCCTGATTCTATGGCGCAGCGTCTCCCTGCACTTCCCTGCACTTCCGTCAGATGCATACACCGTGGCTAGGAGCAGTCAGCTCTACAGTCAAGCTCTCGGACTTAACTCCTTCCCTGCCTCTTACTAGCTGTGTATCCTTTTTCCATCTGTAAAGTGGAGATAATAATCCCTACTAAGATGGGGAGAATGAAAATGCACAGAAGATGAAAATTTTCTCTTTGTATAACTGATCTGGTAAAGCAGTTCATACTCATAAGCTTCAAAATATAAAAAAGAAGCATAGACTATCTCCACTTTACAGATAATTATGATTTACTCCTGGCACAGGTGAGTAGTTTAACAAAAATCAAACCCGTCATATCTTATTCCCCAGTACCGGCCAATATTACTACATTTAGAAGAAAAAGGTAACTTGTGGAAATTAAGTAAAAATTTAAAATTGCTCTTAAAATTAAACAAATTTCTCCCTAATGAAAGTTCTTCAAGCTACATGAAAAAGAATTCTAAAATTATTTAAGTATTTCAGAAAAGACACAAAAAATTATTGCTTCTCTTTTTGAGTTAGTCTCAGGGAAATCTATCTCGCTGGCCCTACCTTAAAATTAAAAGATAACATTTTCATTAAGATGTTAATACTTTATTTTATAATTAATGGAATTAATAATTTATTAATAATGAATCATGTTATTATTTTTTTCTCTGATACACAAATGTCAAAAAGAAACCAGACTCCCCCTAAACTTATACTGTTGTGCCATACACACAAAGATCTATTTCAGCAGTGACAGCTTCCTGGTTGCACTATGGTTAAGCCCTTGGCTGCTAACTCAAAGGTTGGCAGTTCAAACCCACCAGGTGCTCCACGGGAGAAAGATGTGGCAGTCTGCTTTTGTAAAGATT